CACAACCCAGCGTAGTGAGCTTACAGCCCTTCCAGGGATACTCATCTACCATAGTTGTCCGAGAAATCGGTGGTACATACTCCGTATAAAGAACCGATTCTTCCATGAAATTTGATTATACCCTGCATATCCATCCATTAAATAAAATTCGATGCCCTGCTGCAGAATCGATTAACATGTCTGCTATAGGCATGACATATTCATCGTTTGGAGTGGCTAGCTTGACATCTCTGAAATCGATGCAGATTCGGATCTTTCCATTTTTCTTGGTTACCGGAACAATATTGGCTAACCATTCTGTATATCGACATGGACGAATGAAAGTAACTTTCAATAACTTCTCTATTTCTTCTTTGATCTGGGGCATCCATTCTGGACTCACTCTCCTTGTTGGTTGCTTATAAGGTTTAAACCCCTTTTTTATAGGCAACCTATGTTCTATTAAACTGCGCGCCAATCCGGGCATTTCAGAATAATCCCATGCTAGACATTCCTTATGATCTCGAATTAACGCTACCATTCGCTTCTGTTGGTTTTTTGTCAATAAACCACTTAGTCTGACCATCTTGGATATCTGTTTGGTTCCCACATTATATTCAATTGAGAGGATCCTGACTTGATAAAGAAGTTTCTGTCTTTTCCAAGAGGTCAGGCCAGCGAAAATCTTCTTCTTTGCCAACATTATTTTTGGAAATTTTATTATTATGTAGTCTAACCATTAATTGGTTTAAATAAAACTGTCTAATCATTTTATCACATTTATTTATTTCTTCCATAAATTAAACTTCAAAGAAAAGTTTATTATGGCTAACAACAGAGCCATAATACAGAAGATTGTTTCTAATGAAACACACAACCAAGCGTAGTAAGCTTACAGCCCTTCCAGGGATACTCATCTACCATAGTTGTCCGAGAAATCGGTGGTACATACTCCGTATAAAGAACCGATTCTTCCACTCCTTCTGTAGAACTTAACGGATTTGTACTGGCTTCCATGGTGAAAACCTTGTCTCCTTCCCAAAACATGATCTGTTGATGGAGAGAAGAAGGCACGCACTTGGAAGCGTGAATCCAGTCTCGTCCCAATAAAACTGAGTAAGTAGTATTGGCATCCATAACAAAAAAACACGGTCGAAATCACCTTTGGTCCGTCCTCAATGGGTGCCACCATCATCCCCTCTGGTTTGGTCGGTTGTCCTGTGAAGCTCGTCATCTCGATGTCTACTGGAGACAAATCGCCAACCTCTTTGCCTAATTTTCTTAAAGTTTTGAGAGGCATGACATTGAAAACAGCCCTATTATCAATAAAAACCTTGTTAACCGGCTTACCACATATGTGGGCGTTAACATAAAGTGGTTTTAAATACGGGATTGCTCCTTCTGGTATAGGTGGAAAAACCATAGGTGGGGGTCTGCCAACCATCGTCGCCCATTCTGGTTCTTCCTCCTCCTCGAACTTTGCCCAAATGGGTTCTTCTTCGATGAACCATCGCATATCTGTCATCCTGACTTCGAACCCTGTTTTATCAAGCTTTACAATCTCGCTGCGCAAGACTTTCGTCTCTTCTGGGGCAAAAGATCCAAAAATTATCTCAGGAGTTTGTTCCTGCATTTTCTATTTCAGGATCAATATTAATCCGCTTGCAGAATTGACATCGAAAACATTTGGCCTTCTTGATTGGCTGGCTAATCTGCCACTGCTCCTCAGGTCTCTCATTCGAGCTTTTTCTTTTGGGTGATGATTCTCGCCATGTGGATCCTTCCGAGGATTCGGCCGGACCTCAGTCGTATGAAACTCTCCGTTGACGTAGGATCAACAATCTTGCCTTTCTCCCACTGTGGTCGCCAAATTGTTGATGTATTTTTTCAACAATAAAAAGTAAAATCCGAAAATAAAGAAATATCCCCGAATTTGATAGATGAGTGCCTGAGATTATAGATCTCTAAACACTGTTGAATAATAAAATAAAATAGGGAAAATAAAATAAAAGACTGGAAAATAAAAGTGGTGATCCCCAAAAGCAATTCTCTTGGATTTGATGTCGATTGAAGATCCCTTCTTTGTACAGTACGGAATCCTTAAATAATCCCTTGAAGACACGGTTCGAACCGCTATCCGGTCGGTTACCATAGCCGCTGTTAACTGCCCAAAAAGTTCTCTTCTATTGACACGTATGAGAATCGTCCTACCACGTCCGACCTTTGAAAACCGTTCGCCAGTTGAGGCTACCAGGAACTGCCCCCTCACCCGACCTGCAAATTGGCCATTTATCATCCGATCTTGTACTGTCTCCTTCTGTGTCCGACCTTATTACACCTGACCTTTAGACTTGATCCGACTTCAATGCCCAATCTTCGCACGCCCGACCTTTGAGATTTATGCCGATTAGGTCCGACTTCGATGTTTGGCCTTATTAGATCCCGTCCAAGTTCGGCTTCACTACCCGACCTTATTATATTCAACCATTGGAATTGTCTCGACCAGGTCTGACCTTAACGTCCGACCTTTGGGATTAACCCGACCAGGTCTGACCTTAACGTCCGACCTTAAGCTCATCCGACCCAGTTATTGCCGTTGTACTTGGATTTTCAAAGAGCCCACTAGACTTTTCGAATAAATCTTAACCCAATTTTGGTAGACCCATTCTCAAAAACCCTATCCACCATTTTTTTTTTTGTGCTCAACAATAATTTTGTAAAGAAAATCTTCACCAAAAGCTATGATACCACTTTTTATTGAAACATAAGAACGGATCGAAGATTTTATTATGAAATCGACCGAAAATTTGAACTAGATTTGGTTAGGCTCAGCCCCAAACCTAACTCGGAACACAAATCGGCACAAAAATCACACCTAACTAGCGACTACACAAAACAACCGGCCCAAAACACACGACGCACACTAAAGGGAACCCCCACAGAACATACAAAGCGAAGCGTCTACAAGTTGAACGAGCTTGCGACTACGAACAACAACAAACAAGGGAAAAAATGCGTCACAGGAACTCCACAAGTTACATGAGAAAAAGCGCCGCCAAGAACCGGCTGGGAAAGGTCACCAGAGAAGATGGATAGAGAGGTCGAGAGAGAGGCTAGAGAGGACGAGTGTAGAGTGTGAGAGTATAACGTGAGATAATGCCTGTCTCTCCTCTCTATAAATAGGTAGGTGAAAGACGAATGGACGACCAAGATAACAAACCTAAAATGGACGGCCTAGATCGTGTCTAGCAAAGGCGGGTATGGGTCAAGAGACCGGGCCAGGGTAAGTCGACAGCCTTGGGTCAAGCACAAGGTCGGCCAAAGGTCACAAGTCGCAGGTCGGCTCATGGGTAAGTGAGAGCGGTTTTGACAAGCGGGTGTGGGGCGCGGGTTAGGGCCACGGTTCTAATGGATTGCATAATTGGATGTGTGTCTTATTTGGGGTGGATCCAATTGGACTAAAAAATCCAACATTTTCTCTTATAGGATTTTACCAAACTTTGGAATTAACCGATTTCTTTTTTTTTTTTTCAAAAATATAAAATCAAACATTTATTTTTTATTTTATATATTATATTAAAAATTAATTTTATATTTAAAATATTACATCAAAATCTATTTATATAACATAATACAACTATTTTAATTCAAAATTTCTATTATTCAAATTTTAAATTCAAAATTCAAATCCTCAAACAAACACAATCTCGTACTCACGCTCTCGTACTCTAGTAGTGTTTAGCGTTTGTCGTAAGTGAATTTGATGTCAAATGGGTGGGGATGTTAATTTAGCTTCCCTCTCGTACTCACGCTCTCGTACTCTAGTAGTGTTAGCGTTTGTCGTGAGTGAGTGATGGGTGGAGATGTTAATTTAGCTTCCCTTTGGCATCAACATCGATTCATTTGGCGACGAATAAGTTATAAAAATTTTCTCATTTTTTTCTGTCATATTACTTAATTCTCAAATTATTTTACTTATTACTACTCACAAAAAATCAAATATATTACCTTACTTGGAAAGAGTATTATTTATTATATAATATTCCTTTTTTTAGTTTTATTCACACCACAAAATAACTAAATTTTTATTATTTTGTTTGAAAAAGATCAACGTTTCTTTTCTTTTACATTGTTCCAAAAAATAAATAAATAAATAAATAATCAGTTATTTTAGATTTAATATAAAATAATTATTAATACTAACTTTTATAAATTAAAGAATATATAAGACATTTAATTCTCAAAATTTTAGAATTTCAAAAAGTTTGTGCCTAAGCGGTGATTTTATAAAATTCTTTCTATGGTGCAGTTCATTGTGTGTGATTTCTATCGCCGCTGGCTTCGAAAATGAAATAATTGTATTAACATGGCCGTAACTAATATCCGCAGATCGCAGCTCAAGCAGTTGACCTCTTCCTTGTACAGACATGTTAGAAATAAAATTCAAATAACAATTACTTGTGAACCCTTTCTTAGACTGATTCTTACTTGGAGCATAAATATATTTAATCAGTCGCAAATTATTTAATGTAGCATCTACTTGTAAACCCTTCATTCGACTGACACTGACGACTTGCTGCTATTTGTTCTGACTTAAATGAAGGGTTCACGAGTAGCTGCTGGTGTGCTGTCTGTAATTTCATCATTGGCCTGATAATCATATAAAAACTGTAATTTGAGTTTTATTTCTAGCATGCCTATACGAGGATGAAGGGTTCAACTGCTTGAGCTCAAATCGGAATTTATGCTGTAACTAATATCTTGCCCCTGTTCTGTTCTGTTCAGTTCATGTAAGCCCTAAACTCTAGGAGGATGAAGAGTTCAACTGCTGGTGTGTTTACATGAACCGAACAAGAACAGAACAGGGGCAATATAATGTAATAGGAGCAGTATGATATCTATAGGTTTTTTATGTTCAATAGTGAAGAATAGCTCAAAATCAGCACAGCACGTTCATGTTCAGGTTCTACCTCGACTTCCCTACAGAAGGATTAACTTAACTTCTAAGACTCATCGGCATCTACCATACCATCCAAATAGAAGATTTAGTAATAGAAGATAATTAATGGAGCGAGTGAGTAAATGACATCCATCCATTTATACATACGGGAACAAATTACTAAGGTTACCTTCTTTCTCGGTTAAGCAGGAGGTAGCCGTTGGGCATGGGCATGGTTTCGCACTGAAATACTTACTAGAGCTCCAAACACGACAGCCACTCCAACCCCAATAATGATAGTAGGAAAATGGAAATATGATCCGTTTTTCTTCTGCATGGTATCCCACTGCTGCATAACCTCGCCCGGGTGCCATAAACTCAAGTGCACTGCCAGCGCCATTTTCAAATCCTGTGAATTGCCTTGGTCTTGGATTATTTTTGAACATATAGGGCATGAGATGGTTGGACTTTCTTCATCCTTTGTCAAAGTGACTCTCTCGGCTACTGCTATTGCTTTGTCCCTCAAAGATGTCTGATTCTGAGTCGGGCAAGGATGAGGAGGAGAAAACTGGTAAAAATGATTCTGTCATAAGTTGTATGGATACAGAGATTTTGCTTGGCCATAAAAGAAAGGTTGGGGGGGAGGGAACCTTATATGAAATGAAAGAAAAATGGTTCCAATTTATTCCAATGACCGGAGTTTTTAGAATATTACACTAAAAATCTGCTTTCTATTGTAGAAAATATTACATCAAGCACATATTTACAATATATCAAAAACTTATATCAATTCAAGTTTTTATTATTCCCAAAATACCAAAACACACCTAAAGAACATCCCTACAAAGCCAGAGGTCCCAACTTAAGAGTAGGAGAAGAACTTAGCCAAAAAAAAAAAAAGCATCCAAACAAGTGCGGAATTTTTTACTATGGATGTAAAAGGCATAATTTCAAAACATTGATTCTGAATGGAGCCTAAGCAAATCGATCCCATTTTGTGCAATAGAAGAAGAGACCACCTTTTGAATTCAAAGCCGACAATTATTGGGCATGGACAAAAATATACAAAGAAAATATACTACCTTCATCAGACTACGCAACCGCTGCCATGTTGCTCTAAGAAAACTCCTCATTTCACTTCATTTGATCACTCGACAGGCCGGAAATCCTATTAGTCATAAATAATAATAATTAATAAGTAAATGCAGGTATTGACAATTAGCAGCTAATTTTAATTTTTTTATGCTCCAACTGGCAATTGCTGCTAAGCCAAACTTCAATCAGACAAATACAAACAATAATAAAGAGCTAAGTGTAACACCCCGGTCGGCTCAAACCGGAGCGTCACCGCCACGCTACACCTTAAGGCTCGTTCATCAACCAACTAGCCCTACGTTGTGGCGCTAAGGCTAAAATAACCATTACGAAATAACTATTTAGAGATTTAGAATTAAAGCGCACCGGTTTATCATTTAAATAAATAATGTTCGAGTTAAAAACATAAGTTGGAAATAGTTCAAAAGACATTAGTTATTAAACATTAATAATAGATTTCAAAAATATTTTAGAAGATAAAGTAGTTATAGTTCTCCCCGATGGATCATATGACGTGGATGCATTATTTAGGTATAACTGAAACATGATTACCTACAAAAAGTTGTAAAAGGAGAGTCAACACAACGGTTGAGTAAGTGCAATTAATCGAAGATAAATTAATACGGTATAATGCAACAAAATCATTTGAAGAACATAATTTGAATAAGATGACACATATCGTATAAGGATAACTCACCCACACGAGTTTTTTAGCGCCTCCCTTATATCTCCTTTTCATTCTCAAATAATAGTGATGAGCACATCACGAAGAAAACTCCATTAGGCCTTACTCAGGGCCGGCTCGACCCGGTTTTCCAACCTTATTACTTCGTATGGCACGTCACATAATTTCACATAACAAACATAGGGTCACAACCCTCAAAGGAAACTTCACAATGTGTACATTAGGGTTTGAAACCCAAAATACACGTAAATCAATTTATTATTAGTTTGCGAGAGGCGCCAAACGGTCCACAACCCTCTAGTCTCCAATATAACATACCAAGAGGGGATTGTACACAATCCATCCCTCCATCACGGATGACGGTCTAAAGACCTTTCCATCGTGAATGACGGGCACCTCGGAATCACCCTAATAGGGAACCCGCCATCTCGATCCCTAGACCTAGCCCATTCGGGATCTAGTTCAAGGTTAGCTAGTTATCCTAAAATACCGGTATACCCTCACGTGTTTGCAAGGCACAGAGGTGAAAGGCTATGCCTTATCATCCAAACAATCGACGAGTTGATCGGACTCGACGGGTAGTTTCAATTACCAATTTGACCAAATACTCAACATGCTTTTAGGCAAATTTTAAAAAGAGTGTTTTAAACTCAAAATATTCCAATTGTCAACATTTAACCATGCAAAGTAAGATATTAGACCCAACAAGTTCGTTATGATCTCACTTTATTTCGCCAAATAAACATTCGAAAAATATTTCAATCACAATAGGCATGGTCTAATTCCAAAAATCATAATATTTAAATATAATCGTAAATCTTTTTCCAAAAACCATAATTAAGTTAGGGCAAAACTAGGGTTTCAAATCCATTCTATAAATTCCACGATTTTCAATTTAGAATCCAATAATAATCTTCACATAAACGTTATAATCAACTTTATAGAAGAAATTGGCAAAACCTAACACGTTTAGGGCAAACCCATTTGACAAGAATATTGAAAAAGATATCAATAGAAGGGTCTAGGGATTAGAGCATATCAATCTATCTAAGATTAATCCCACTTACCTTAAAAAAATAGACCAAAAGGAAGAGTTTTGGAGAAAAAGGACTCTAAGAAAGAAGGGGGTTGGCTGGCAGCGTTCGTTCTGCTGTGCTGCCTCTGTTCTTTTTCTTTTTATTTTATTTTATTTTATACTTTATTAACATAAAATAGGCACTCTAACCTGGATACGTTATATCTTGGATAAAGATACCTAAATTAAGAGACACGGATAAACAAAATCTAGTTCATTATTTATTTTACCCCAAATTCAATTTTATTCATAATTTACAACAAATTCCTTAATTTCTTACACCAAAAGCTCAAAATAAATTAGGCCTAAAATAATATTTTCTGACTCAGGCGTCAAAGTCCGGCAAGTTCCTGCAAACTTCCGGCGAGTATTTTTACGAGGTATTACACTAAGTGAAAGCTTTATGTCCCACAAGGTTTTACTCAAATAATTCGACATTACTAAACATGAAAAGGTTGATTAAACTCAGCATACTTAATTATTTGCCCAAAATAGAGATTGAAATATATCAAGCTTTCCGAAACCATTGAACAATGCGCACACTCAGCCGAGCCAATTCTTATGAGACTCCTCATCTATGACTTCAGTTACTGCCTGTGGGTTTGCAAACTCAATGGAAAAGCATACATATTTACAAACCGGGGTTCATACATGGGAAGATGTAGGATTCAAAAGGAGCCATGAGCTCAGGTTCACCAAATTGATGGCCACACCAATATCTTGAAACAAAGGAAAGTAAATGAAATATCTAGAAACAAAGAAAAGTAAATAAAATATCTAGAAATTACTGCCTTTCAAAAGGCAGTCCCTCTACCAGGTGATCCAAAGATACTCCTTAACTTCTAATACTTCTCTAAAATGATAACTATTCGATATACCTGTAATTTTGATACATTATCAGTAACAACACTGAGGCATTTCCAATTCCAGTGGTTAACTTAAAAGCAGTTCACTTGTGTTTTCAACACCATTTTCACACTGCTTAATCTAATGTGTTCCCACCCAAAAACATCATTCACAATGCTTAAAATCTATACCCCCAATCATCATATCCAAGAACTAATTTTCACCCTAAATTCGTGTCCAAAACACCAATAACATCCCAAAACACAAGTTAACACACCAGATATTATTTGAGGTAGTATATGGCGACATTAATAGACTCCCTAAGCAATTGGAAATCCTGATCTTCCATTCAGATAAGAAATTTGTAAGTAGCATCAATAACGACCAAACTAATTAAAGCTCTCCAGCAGACAAGCATCGAATAAAAATTAGTTATACACAGCTCATTCATAGAAAATTCTCAAACATTCCTGTCGTTAGCGCAACTAAACATATGTACCAGATTCGACCTAGATTTTACGTAAATTAGATACACCGAAACTTGAACTAATTCTAAAGGTTAAAAAGGGCACGAAAGCATAAACGTATGCTCAATTCAAAATAATTAAGGAGAAATCAGTTCATACAAAAACAACGAATCCCTGCTCAGGGCTCAGTCACAGGTTCAACTTCGGAAAGCACATAAGAGCTTAGAAAACAATCAATTTCGAGGCGAATAAGGTGTGTATGTATGGGTACACCAGGAACATCGAAAATGCGTAGAGCAATACCGGTGATTGTACTTCGGCAAAAACGCTCGATGGAGATGCGAAGAGAAGAGAGGAGAATCCGAGGTTACACCGGGAAACAGTGAGAACTGAGTCGGAGAGTCATACCCTTTATTTACTTTCTATTTATATTACTCACTGTATCATAAAAAGATAATAAAAAATGGCTGTGTGAGGTAATTAATTAATCAAAATTAATTGTAATTAACAGATTTATTTTTGAAAAAAAATAAAATAAATAATAATATTGATACAATCCACGTTCTAATTATTTTTTCCCTAATTAATTAATTAATTAATTAAAGATAGTTGTGATATACGCAATAATATATATTGAATATAGTTTTTTTTGTTATGCTTCAATTTCTCAAGTATTGTTATAAATCGAAACAAGCAATACTAGCTAAAATTAATTTAATCCAATCCAACCTAACATAACCACCAATTTTATCCTACCATTCGAAGCCACCCCTGTCCAAGTTCTCCATCCCGTAAATCACCGCGTCCGAGCACTAGCAGCATCTGACGCTTCACCAACCGACTTGTACTTGCGGCCGACAAGCTCCATCAACCCTGAATTGACAATCTTATAATATCAATGGAAGACCACGGTAACTCGAGACTGTCGGGGACATATCCCGTAGATCGGCTAGGAGTATGATGGAAACAAATTAGGATAAGCTGGAGGTTTGATCCGAAGGCAATGGAAGAATGGAACTTGGAAAATGCTCAAAACGAATGGAACTCGGTCCAAAGGCAATGGAAGCAGCTGGGAACTGATGGAAAGAGGTTAGTTGGTGGTTAAGAAAGGTAGAAAGAAGTTGAAGAATAATTGTAACCACCCCTGTTAGTGGAAGAAGTGGTTATTCTAGCTTAAGACTACAATTAGGAAAAAGAAACACAACACACGGGGACAACAAATCAATTCGTCTATTTTCATACTTTTTTTCCTGTTTATTTTTGTTTATGCAATTTAATTCTGAGTTATACGCTTTCTGCAATTTATTTACTGGCTTTCTGTAGATTATCATAGTTTAGTTTGTTAATCGTGTGAAATCTTCATAACCCGACGACGGATTGGCTCTCTGGAGTACTTTTGGAACCTACACCGATAAAATCGACGAGCTATTTTGGAATTCTGAATAGCAGGATCCAACAATTGGCACGCCCAGTGGGACCAAGTCGGGTTCGTGTTCGTGTATGCAACTTCGTAGTGGTAGAGCGATCGCCATGGACAATCAGAATCAAGGCTCAGGCCTGAATATCGGTGCAGGATTTACTAGAACTGGAATGCCGGTTCATCCCAGTGGAAGCCGCACCCCAGGGCTGAGAAGAGAAGAAGAATCATCATCGACCGAAATGATGGTGAGCATGGTACACAGGGAAGTGAATCAGTGTATTCAGGCTGGAATCGGGAATATCACGTACGAAATCTCTAGGCAATTGGCTGATGTGATCCGGCCAACTGTGAGGAATGAAGTGTTTCAAATTCGTGAAGAGGAACGTCGAGCAGCGGCCAGTTGAGTCCAGAATTCTGGAATTCTAGGAAACACATATGGAGGTCCGAGAGGAATAACTTCATCTACTGGAGGGATTTCATCCCTCACAGGGAACGTCGGTTCCAGCTTGGGTCGGGGAAACACTGGATCGCCTAGGGGACCGACTAGTGGAGCAGGATTGCAATTCGGCAATGTAACGATTCTCCAACGCCTGCAAAGAAGGCAGCCCAGCGGAGGCTGTGGCCCTCAAATGGTAGGAGGACCAGATGTCGCAGGAAGCGGTGTTTACGGAGTCCCTCAAGGGACAGCGTTGCCAGCGCAGGTCGCAGGTCAGCCTACTTGGAATGCACCTCCACCGCCGTGGGCTCAGCAGGCTCCATATGCCGCTGTCCCTCAAGGAGGAATGGCTGGTCAAGCTTGGGGACCAGAGGGGCAGCCGCTAATTCCTAATCAGCAGGAGGCCTGACCATTAATAGATACGGATATTCTAGTAGAAAGTATCTGAAGAGCTCTCCCACGAATGAAATTTGAAGAGCGACCGGTGTATCAAAGACCCTACCCAGCTTGGGTAAGTGAGATGATGCCGTTACCTGTTCGAAATAAAGCACCGGATTTTACACTGTTCTCAGGCGAAGATGGGAGATCAACGATAGAGCATATTGGGAAATTTACAGCTCAGTGCGGGGATTTGGGAGGAAATGATTGGTATCATTTACAATTTTTTTCTTTATCTCTGACGGGTACTGCATTTTCATGGTATACATCGTTGGCTCCAGGTACTGTGTAGTCTTTGTCAGATTTGGAGAGGCTTTTTCACGACCGTTTTTATGCGTCACTAGTGGAAACTACAATTCCCACCTGGTAGCTGTAAAATAGGGATATGATGAGCCTGTGGCACAATTTTTGAAAAGATTTCGACAAGCTAAGACACGGTGCACAGTGCAGATCCCTGAACAACAACCAACCGCGATGGCAGTGGATAACATGCGATCAGATCTTCGAAACGGGTTGGGAGTTCAGGATTTCCAAGATTTTTCGCATTTAAGTGCACTCGCAATGAGAGCAGAAAAACACATTCGAGAGAGACGGGATGCTACTGTAGGTAGGTGGAAGAAAGATGGAAAATAAGGGATAACTTGCTGTGCGGATGATGAAATCTCAACCGACGAAGATTGTGGTGAGGAACAAGAGGTGCTAGCGGTTGAGTTGCTGAAAGGAAAAACTTACTCTTGTTCAGCATTAAAACCTACAAGGGGTAAGGAGGTCGGAAAGCACTAACTGTATACCTTTAAAAGTGCTAAATATATTCCCCTAAAGTATTATAAAAAAATATGGAAAGCACTGTAATTAGAAATATAGAGCACAAAGTTTAATACCAAAAAATGTTATATTATAAAAAGAAAAAGGTAGTTAAGAAACAAAAGCGCTAACGTTATCCCCTTAAAGCAATATTTAACATATACGAAAAGTACTGTAATTAGAACTCTAGAGCACAAAGTATAATCTTATAAAGTTCTTTATAATATAGAGGTAAAACAGTGAAGAAACAAATGCGCTAAATATATTCCGTTAAAGCATTATAAAACAAATACATAAAGCACTGTTATTAGAACTATAGTGCACAAAGTATAATCTTATAAACTGATTTATAATATAAAGGAAAAACAGTGAAGAAACAAAAACGCTAAATATATTCCCTTAAAGTATTATAAAACAAATACGAAAAACACTATAATTAGAACTATAGAGCACAAAGTATAATCCCATAAAGTTCTATATTATAGAATGAAAAGGCAGTTAAGAAGCAAAAGCACTAAATTTATTCCCTTAAAGCACTATTTAACATATACGAAAAGCTCTGCAATTAGAACTCTAGAGCACAAAGTGCTTGCTTAAAAAAAGGAAAAACAGTGAAGAAACAAAAGCGCTTAATATATTCCCCTAAAGTATTATAAAACAAATACGGAAAGAACTGTAATTCGAAATATAATCCAATTGAGTGCTATATTATAAAAAGAAAAGGAAGTAAAGAAACAAAAGCACTAACATTATTCCTTTAAATGACTATTTAACATATACGAAAAACAATGTGATTAGAACTCTAGAGCACAAAGTATAATCTTATAAAGTACTTTGTTAATATTGTAAAGGAAAAACAGTAAAGAAGCAAAACCGCTAAATATATTCCCTTAAAGCATTATAAAACAAATAGGGAAAGCACTGTAATTACAACTATAGAGCACAAAGTATAATACCATAAAGTGCTATATTATAAAAATAAAAGGCAGTTAAGAATCTAAAGCACTAACGGCATTCCCTTAAAGCACGATTTAACATATACGAAAAAGCACTATAATTAGAACTCTAGAGCACAATGTATAATCTTATAAAGTGCTTTCTTAATATTATAAACGAAAAACAGTGAAGAAAAAAAAAACGCTAAATATATTCCCTTAAAGCATTATAAAACAAATACGGAAAGCACTGTAATTAGAACTATAGAGCATAAAGTATAACCTTATAAAGTGATTTATAATATAAAGGAAAAACATTGAAGAAACAAAAGCGCTAAATATATTCCCTTAAAGTATTATAAAACAAATACGAAAAACACTGTAATTTGAACTATAGAGCACAAAGTATAATCCTATAAAGTGCTATATTATAAAAAGAAAAGGCAGTTAAGAAACAAAAGCACTAACTTTATTCCCTTAAGCAGTATTTAACATATACGAAAAACTCTGCAATTAGAACTCTAGAGCACAAAGTGCTTGCTTATAAAAAGAAAAAACAGTGAAGAAACAAAAGCGCTTAATGTATTCCCCTAAAATATTATAAAACAAATACGGAAAACACTGTAATTAGAAATATAGAGCACAAAGTTTAATACCATAAAATTTTATATTATAAAAATAAAAGGCAGTTAAGAAACAAAAACACTAACGTTATTCCCTTAAAGCACTATTTAACATATACGAAAAGCACTGCAATCAGAACTCTAGAGCACAAAGTATAATCTTATAAAGTGCTTAATAATATAAAGGAAAAACAATGAAGAAATAAAAGCGCTAAATATATTCCCTTAAAGCCTTATAAAACAAATACAAAAAGCACTGTAATTAGAACTATAATTCACAATATAATCCAATAGAGTGCTATATTATAAAAAGAAAAGGAAGTAAAGAAACATAAGCACTAACATTATTCCTTAAAGGACTATTTAACGTGTACGAAAAGCACTGTCATTAGAACTCTAGAGCACAGAGTATAATCTTATAAAGTGCTTGTTAATATTGTAAAGGAAAAACAGTAAAGAAGCAAAAACGCTAAATATATTCCCTTAAAGCATTATAAAACAAATAGGGAAAGCACTGTAATTACAACTATAGAGCACAAAGTATAATACCATAAAGTGCTATATTATAAAAATAAAAGGCAGTTAAGAATCTAAAGCACTAACTGTATTCCCTTAAAACACTATTTAACATATACG